TGCTGATTACTACTAGTGTGGAGGGCATCAGGAAAGGGAAGGGAAAAACAGCAACCAAAATGATGAAGATATTAAGCATTATATAATCATAGTATTACTGTCTGTTATATATACATAAACATTGCTTCTGTTCTAATGGATAAATGGGGTTCAGCAAAAATAAGAACCTTCACATGGGTTATTTTTCATTCTTAGAAAGGAAACTGTTCAACTGAAGGTGAAATAGGTGTTCAGTTATTACAGTGATGGTTTTCCTGGGCTATATACTCTCTGGATGAGGGGATGATAAGTTGTATAACATTATTTTAACTAAAAGAAAGCCATATTGTCTCAAAATTAGAAATTATACAGTCTAACAGTTAATAAAAACCTTGTACCTACAAAATCCCACTATCATGTGAGCATTTTGAACCAAATGTTTGTGAAAACAAATAATCCACAAATCACTCCTGAAATGGTTCCTAACAGTTACTTTATTAATTAGTCAAGGCTGTCTCAAATATGCATCCTTTAAACAGCACTCCAGTCATCCACTTCCATTAACTGCCTCCCTGCATTGTTTTGGAGGAAGAAAAAAATCATTCAGCCTTATCTAGCTCCATGAACAGTCATTACTTACTTGGATTTGATGGTGGAACTGCTCTTGCTGGGCATTTATTTGTTCCTGGCATTGTTTTTCTACCAGTCTCAGTAGCTGTAGCCACCTTGTCTATTAAATCACAAAGTGAAATAATTAAAGCACAGAAATATTGCACCTCTTACCTTTTTCTCTGGCTACAAATAGCTTTGCAATCCTATCCTTGGGTGTTGGCATAATACAAAGTTGAGTAACAGCACTGTGGTTGCCCACCCCACAGCACATTCAGCCCCCACCATGCCAATCAATGGAAACTAAAAGTAGGAACAGCTGCCAGCAAAGAACTGTCAGATTCTGGAAAGGTTGATTCCAGTTCCATTAATTATAGGCAATTCTAAAATTGAGAATTAAACACCCTTCTGTCCATCCACTTCAGCAAGGAACTCCTCCCCTCAGCAATCCAGCTAAAGGCCATGATGCACAATTATGTCATGAAAACAAAGAGATCATTTTTTAAATAACCAAATATACAGCATTCCTGAAACATGGCAAAATCTGATATTTAAAAATTATTTTATGCTAATGTTTATGGAGCCTGGTGCTTGAAGCACAGGACACGGGACATCAATATTCTGTTCCTGGAGGTGTTAAAGAGAACCCAAATTAAGCATCTGTCAACACACACTTGGATGGATCCCAGCCAGGAAGCTCAAAAATCTGCAAGAGCAAGCCCATGGTGTGCAAAACCTTATGATAAGTGTTTGGTCCTTATGATAGCTAAAAATAATGATAAAATTTAAAATACAAAAGGACAGAAAATGTTCCAAAAAGTATCTGGGAGTATCAGTTCATTGAAACCACATAATTATTTTTGCATTGGTTTAAATCTGGAAACAAACTAATCCCCTACACATGTTTACAACTGGATTATATAAATAAGTCAAGCAAAACAGAACCATTTTTAGAAAAAAAACCTACTTCTAATTTCTAGGATCCTTTCAGACCAGTTTGATGTGATACAGTTTTAATGGTTTAAATTTTTCATTTCAAAAACTTGCTACCTTTATTGTAACTTTGGGAAAAAATGTTCAGATCTATATTATAATATATATATTATTAATATAATATCATTATATTATAAAGCACCAAGCTATAAAAACAAATTATTGTAAAACACTAAGATAAAATTGTGGTAAAATCCAATTTATTTAGTTCATTTATTATAAAAGGATCTGTCCCGTAATTAAGAATAAACACAGATCTTGCTGCTGAATTGTATCATTAGATTTGTCTTCCAAAATGCAAAGCAAATACATTAATACCACTTTTTAAAAATAAACTTAATATCAAATACCTCACAGTTCCTCACAATTTCTAAGTTGGCATGTCCAATGTTCTGGATATCTTGCATAAAGGAGGCAAGCAGCTCAACAGAGCCAGGCTTTAATGAGGACCTGGGATTCCCTGAGTAACCAGAAACTCCATTTGGATTGGATGAAGGACTCCTAGAGAAACATGAAGAAAAACAGTTCAATTATTTATTGTGTCAGGTGTGCAACACAGTGGCCCAAACAATACACTACATATGCCAGACGATAATTATCCACTCAGTTTAGGACTATCATCATGTTGAAATAAAAATTGCACCTTAATATAATATTACTGTGAAAGCATGCTAACTAAGCAGAGCCAAAATAATGGAATTAGTGATTCCTTCAGCACTTTACCTGTTAGAATTCAAGTTGCAGACAGAGCTGTGGGTGTTTCTGACATCAGAATCTGCAGAGGACAAAGGGGTTTCTTGTACAGAATTCACCACATCGCTGTTTTCCATATCTTAGTGCCAAGTATGACATTACCCTGAAAACAGAGAGAAATAAGCATCACTCTCTTTCTTTAAAAAAAACATTTTACTTTCTCGTGTGAAGAAACAGAACTGGAACTGAAGAGACAGTTGTTTTAGCCAAACCACCCCAGAAAGTGCAAATATTCCACAACAACCAGGCTCCCTCCCTTCTCCTGTGCCACCCCTGCAAGCAGGTGCTGCTCACTCAGCCTTGGGCCTCCCACAAGTCCAAGGATTCCCAACACATCCAGACTGGGCTGGAAAGGATGGCAGAATGCAAAACCTTCCAGGTAAAACCGTGCTGGTGGGGTCTGACTGGCTGCTTTTCTTAAATCTGGGCCTCCACAGACCACATGCTAGGTGTGAAGTCTCTTATTATTGATGTGAATGAGGATCTGAACCTTCACTGGAAGAAACACACTCATCAAAAATAGTAAAACTGAGACCAGCTGAGTTAGACTGGGATAAACCAATTCTGCCATTTCTGTGTGTAATATTTGGCTTACTTTTTTTCACAGATCACTTGCTTCACTGTTATTACACAACACTAAATCAGAAAGCTTTGAAATTGAGGTACATTTCTGACCAATTAATAAAACAACAAAAAAAAAAAGGAGTCAAACAGGAATCCCACAGTGGCTGAAAACAGCAGCTGGTTAACTGAAAGCATCATAAATAAATAAATACACAAGACTTGGGCCACAGTCTTACAGCACTCAAAGCAGACTGGCCATAAAGAGATTAAAATATTGTTCCAGTTTGCATCCTTTCACTAAGAAAACCCTTGAAATAATTAATTAACCAGTTTTTACATAGGGCTTATTTCAGCATGTTGTACACCCTGGTGTATTCAGCCTGTGTTCTAACACTGCAGAAAAACCTTATGATCATTTCATGGATGGAGAGTAAAAAGAGACATTAAGAAATATCATCTTAATGGTAGTCTGATAATGCTAGAGAACAAATTCCTGCTGCCTTAAAGAAGCACAGCACTTCCAAAGCACAGTCCTCTTTACAGGACTTATGGCTTTTACAGATTCAAGTTTTCATTATTTGCAAGTTCTTGGAGACATATCTCCAATAGTTTCAGAAGTATAAAATATTTTCACCAGAAGCAAACTAATGGACAAGAGTCCTATTTTCCCCTGTTTTACTGGAGCCTGCCTGGCTTTAGCAGAAATGTTTTTTGGGTACTCACTCGCTATCTCTTCTGGGCAGGGCTGAAAATGCCAGAATTGGGAGGAAGTTATCACAGACACACACATCCCTCTGGCAGAGCTTCGTGGGATAAAAAAAAGAAAAAAAAACATGGCTTTCTTCGTTTTCTAGAGGTCAGAAGTCTGCAAAACTTGTAGGTTATTAGGCTGCTAAGCTGGCAGCTCAAGCTGAGGCTGGGAGTGCCACTGGAGCAAGGGATGGGGGCTGCATCAGTCACCCCCGAAAGCCCAGGATGGAATAATCATGGGTGGCCTATCTCAGCAGCACAGCAAATGGGTGGGACTTAGCTGTGACACAGGCTCGTTTCATAACCTCATTAGAAGTCAGTTCTCGAGAAAAAAATAAAAAATATATTAGCGAGCTCTAACTGCGCTGCGGGAACGCCGTCCTCCATCGATCCCACAGCACAGCACGGTCCTTACAGGGCCACGCAGCTGCAGAAAGGGGCACGGAAAACAAGAAGCCGCAAGGTGTTTTTAACTCAGAAATAGCGGCGCTGATTTCGGTGCAAACACCGGCGCACACACAGCCCGTGAGGCTCTGCAGCGCTTCCTGAGCCAGCCCCGATTCCTTCCGACCCCTCGCAGACACCTCAGCGGTGACAGAGCGTCCCGGTCCCCGCCAGGCCCCCACTCCCCACGGACCCTGAGGGACCCCCAGAAGGCAAAACGAGTCCCGGGGCTGCGGCGCCCTCAGGGCCCCGAGGGCTCAGCCCCCGCAAGGACCCCTCCGGCCACGTCCGCGCCCTCGGGGCCGCCTCCCATCAGTCCGTACCCCCCTCCCCGGCTCCGCGTGTGTCCCGCCCGCTCGCAGCGCCGCGCTGCCCCGCCGTGCCCCAGGCCCCTCACAGCCGCCCCTCACCCGGCGCGGCCCCTCCGCGGCCCCGTCCCTTCACCAGCGCCCCCCGGCCCCGCGCAAACCCCGCCCCCCCGCTCTCATTGGCCGGCCGCTCCTCGCGCTCCGCGATGTTGACAGCGCCGCCGCCTCCGATTGGCTGCAGCGCCCGCCACTCTGCGGGGAAAAGGGGCGGCGCGCCGGGGGCGGCCTCGCGGCTCCGGGAGCGGGCCAAGCGCGGTGGCGCTGCCCCGCTCGGTTCGTACCCGCATCGCTGAGAGCCCACGGCGCACCCGGCAGCCGCCTCCTCCCGCGGCCGTGAGGCGAGGAACGGGCGCGGCCCTGCGCCGCCCGCCCGGCGAGAGGCGGCCGGGAGTTTCGAACGCGGCGACGGGGTTAGAGGGCGCTCCGCACTGAGCCCAGCCCCGTGATTGGCCGCCTCGAGCGCGCGCCTCCTGCGCTGATTCGCTGCGCCGCGAAGCCCGCGCGCCGCGGCGCCGTTCTCCGAGAGAGCCAATTGGAGGGTGAGCGCAATCCACGCCCCCTCCTCGCGTAGCGATTGGCTGAGCCACATGCCAATCAGCCCGGTGGCACCGCCCCCCTCGGCGTGCGCATGGGCCGTGCGGGAGGGACGGCGGAGGTGAGCGGGGGCGGCGGGGCCCGGTGGGGTCGGGCCGGCTCCGGTTCTCGGCTCCGGTTCCGGTTCTCGGCTTCGGTTCTCGGCTTCCCCGGGGCCGGACCTCCTTCGGTTCTCGGCTTCCCCGGGGTCGGCCCTGGTTCGGTTCTCGGCTTCCTCTGGGCCGCTCCGAGCCCGACCCCAGCCCGCAGCGCTGCCGCGGTGGGGCGCAGCGCTGAGGGAAATGGAGCAAAGTCTCCGGTTCCTTTTGTGTTTACTCTTTCTTTAGAGTCCTGTCCAACAGCAGGAATAGGATGAGAGGGATGGTGTTTTTTTAGACTTTTTTTTTTCCAGTCCTGGTTTCAAAAAGTGTTCGGTAATGGGTAGAGCTGGATGAAACCCATTAAATAAATGCTCGTTCAGAACCAGCCAGAAGTGCTGCTCGTTTTTCTGCCTGTATGCTTAATTTTAAAATGTTACTAAATTCTGTAGCAGCTGCCAGTAAAAGTTTTAATTATTTTTTAATTTCAATAGTTACGGTCAAATTTTCTGTTTATGGCACTTCTTCACACACTGAAGTATTTTCTTCTGAGTCAAATAAAGCATTTCAAGCATAACGGCATGTACTGTTTTAATCGCTTACCTAGTACTGAAGACTGACACTTGACAGGAGTAGGAGCTGACATTCCTCGTTGTCCATGAGGAAAATGCACACTTCCAGGCATACCTTTTGCCTTTGTTAATAATCTTGTTAATTCCTTGACCTGGGAAAAATCAGGTTCCCAGTGAGACTGTATAGGTCAGACTGCAAGACTGAAATAACCTCTCTTCCCACTGTTGCTTTATTTTCTTCTTTTTATATGTTTTGTATTTTCCAAGTGTTGGTAGGAGTATTCTTTTATTTACTGTTTTCCAGATTCCTTTCAAAATATTTTAAGAAACATAATTGTATTGAGAACCAAAATTCTATTCAGCATGATAAATATTTCAAGGCAAATCAAACCAGTTCAGATAACCTTGAAAATAAATCTGACTATTGAAATACTGCTCAATATGTGCAGCTGAAGCAGCTCATCTTAAAACAAGGATTTGCATGATAAACTCCTCTCTCCCATTCCGTTCCAGGTTTCGTTCCAGAGAAGCCTTGTCCTGGTTTCTGTATGAATGTTCCAGGTTTATTTCATTTTGCATTCTTACTGAGAGGGGTGCAAACACCATCATGGACACGGTGGGGTCTGAGGAAACAGCAGCTCTCCCTGCTCAGCATCCCCTTACTGCAGGCAGCGAGAAAAAGGAACTCTCTGAATCTCCTTGAAATAAGTGAGGCAGATTTAGAAGAACAGTTTGTAAGAGGTGACGGCCCAGGAGGTCAAGCCACAAATAAGACAAACAACTGTGTTGTTCTGAAGCATATTCCATCTGGGATTGTAGTGAAGGTAATTGTGTTTTATTTTATTGAGTCACAAATTGCATCAGGACTTCCAAGTCTCCTTTCAGAATAATCACAGGGAGGAAAAGTATATTTGTATTTATATTTGTATTTATAGTTATATTTATATTTATATTGTAAAGAGTCTCAGCAAGCAGCAGTCTTGGCTGTCAGCAGATAAATAAACTTGGGGTCAGAGCTGTTTTTCCTGGCTTTGACACACAGTTACAGTTTTGTAGTTTGCAGAGAAATTAATCTTCATTGTAGCTGTCACATTCCTGTCCCTCGTGTGACTTAGAATCTCTTTCTTAGCAAGTTGATCACTCCTGCAGATCCTTTTTAAGCATTTCTCTTACCTACTTCTTGTGGATTAATACCTTGAAATTAATCTTTGCTTCCTGTCACAAGGGGAAGACACAGTTAAGTTAAACTCAAGCAGCTTTCCAGGGTAAGATGGGAAGCATTAAAGATTAATGCAAAAGCCAGTCTGATGAGTTACAGTAGCAAATAATTATTAAATGTATCATCTGGATTTAAATGTTGCAGCTGTTACTGGTGGGATGATGCTCTTGGCTTGGGGAGGAGGGGATTTTCTTTATTTTAATGGTAGGAATGTATAGACTGAAAGGGAAAGCTGAAGAATAAATAGGTTAAAGTTTCAGTAAAATTGTCCTTTGTATTTTTTCAGTGTCATCAGACAAGATCACTGGAGAAGAACAGAAAGATTGCCAGAGAAATCCTGCAGGAAAAAGTTGACCTTTTCTACAAAGGCGAAGACAGTGATGTTTTTAAAGAGAAGAAAGCATCAGAGAAGCAAAAGCAGGAGAAAAAAAGAAGAGCAAAGGAAAACCTAGAAAGGAAAAAGCTTTTTAAAGAGATGCAACAATTGGATAAGGAATAAACATGTGAAATATAGCCTTGCCCTAGCAGGGTAAGAGAATTGTTTGTCATTAGACCCAAACAGTTTTCCAGCTAACAAATGATGCAGAGCTTCACAAGCACAGCTGAAACTCCAGTGCTGACCTGCTGTTCCTGTAAAGCTGAGGAGATAAAAGCACTAATGTACTTCTGCTTCTCCCTGCCATCATCTCATTAATCACATTCAGCAATCAGTTTTTCTGCCAGGTCTAGGAGATAAAGGAATCCTTGTTAAAGAGGAGCTATAAGCTTTCCACCATTGTTAGCACAGGCCAAAAAAAATCAATAGATTTCCTTCTGTGCAGATGACACCTTGGGCTGCTTCCTGGGAGCTCCAGCACATGAGAATAGCACTAAAAGGTTCTCACTTCCCATCCTTCCTCAGGCAGTGCCTTCAGTGACATAAATCCTTTACAAACTGTGACCAGGTTTGGATGCTGGTTGTGATGGAGTGAACTGAGCTGCTGCTGGAAGAGGCACCAGTCACTGGTTCAGACCCATCAGCTGAACAAATGCTCTGTCCCCCTCAGCTCTGAGTAAAGTTTAACCAGAAGCTTTCCAGATCTTACCTGGAGTGGTGCTGAGCACTGGGGCACAGGGAGGGCCCTCCTGCAGGTCAGGGATGGTCACTCATGGCTCTCCAGTTTAGAGGTAAAACTGAGTCATTACAGATAAAAACATTACCTGTGTTGGAAGCTGCCTCGCAAGGCAACAGAGTCCAGTTCATCCGAGCTCTGAATTAATTAATTAGAGTTGTTATGTTTATGCTGTGCTGCAGTTCAGCTTGGCCATGTTGGTACCTTCTCTCATTTTGACAGTTTCTAATTTTATAGGAACAAATGCAGCTGCGTTTCCTTTGTCACCATTCCTCTGAAGCCACTCCTGACTGGTTTTATCCTGTTAAAAATTCCAGCAGCTTAACCAGAACTTCTCTTTAATTTTTGGACAGCACCCTCCCCAGTTGCCACCATGTTTTGGCCTTCAACAAAGACCCAAAGCCAGAGTATGGATTTTGAAGGCAGCAGAGGCTTCTAGAATTTCACCTCCTTGTCCCAGAGACCAGCTGTACCCTGTGCCATGGATGGAGTTCTCCAGCAATCTGCAGGCCCCTTCCCTTGTCCCTTCCTAAACTCCTGCATGAAGGTTAAATTTTTATCTGTTGACAGTTCTTGCTCCTGGAGTATGAATCTGATTAAAGTGACTGTACATAGTTTTAATACAAACTGTTAATGAAAATAAGCTTTATTACGTCAAGTAATAAATACATACAAAGATGCAAATAACAGTTTTAGTAATTTATCCAGAAAGTTCCTTTTTCTTTCTTTTTTTTTTTTTTTTTTTTTTTTTGCAAACTTTAAACTGAAATCTCCAGCCTTAATGTAGAAATTAGCTTTCCAGGATTTTGTTATTATTTAATAGGTTTCCCTATTTTCCATATAGCTCATGCACTTTAAGTGGACTTCAAAGCACTAACAGTCATGCAAATGTTTATGCAAAGTGAACAAAAAAAGAAAAAATAAGAGAAGGGGAAGGTTATTTCTAAGCAGGGTCTATGCTGTATGACAAATTGTGACTTAGCAGACTACTACGTACAGCATGCTATTCTGCTTTTATTAAAAAAAATCCTTAGAGCTTATGTCAAACTTTGAAAGATTGACGTTTTGGGGATAACTGAACATAGTCAAAGGAAAAAAAAAAAAACAGAATGAGGCTGTGGCTGGATAAGAAGAGAACTGAAATATAGCCTGGGAGAGAAAGAGCATTATTCTGCATGCACTTCAGTTTCCATATTTTAGAAACATTTTAGGGGGTTTTAACGTCCTTAGAAAATGCAAACCCTCAGTAAGTTGAAAAATCCTTGGGTTTTTTTTTCATTTTAACTGTACATTTTTGCAAGGGCAAAACAAGAAGGGTAAAACATTCAAAATAAAGGAGTTTGTCTGAATGTTTCACGAGTCAAAAAGAATAAGTGTTACTTTTTCTTCATGAGGAGATGGAGAACCTTGCAGCTGAACCACTGGGCTAAGATCTCGCATTTCGTTCCGTCTCGGCCAGGCATTCCCGAACTAATCCTCTAGCATGGATAATGCCTGCAAAAAAGTTGGACATGTTTTAAATCATCCCATTCAGGCCACACTTGCAGTGACAGTCCACAGAAAGGTTTATGTATTTCTGTCCCCCGTTGCCAAGGCTACCACAGAAGGCCTCAGCAAAGGGGGACAGCCCTCGCTCCCCAAACATCAGCTGCCACTAAACAAGTCTGCCTTCCTAAACTATCATTACAAACTGAAAAGGGACTAAACCAGGAGTCAGAACACAGTAAGATTTGTAAGTCTGCAGTGGCAGGTAGATCTTAATGTGCAATGTGGGCCTCCTTAAAATCAAAGATTTAAGGGGGGGGAAAAAAAAATCTTACCTACCAGTGAGTTATTTTGCTAGTGGAGTGAAACAAATTACAAAATTACTTGGGGAGTCATTTTAGCAAGCTCTTAATGCCTTGGGATAGTTCTCCTCTGGTAGAATGCATCAAATTCCAAGCCATCATAATAGTGTTCAAAGACAAGTTGTGTCTCATGTAAAAATAAGAGATTTTTTTTTCTTTTTTATGGTGTGTGTGCAGAAAGTTACCTCCTAACACTGGCTCAGCTCCCAGTGTAAATCATCACCACTTTACATGCTGCCGTGTCTGCTCTCATCTGATAGACATTGTGTGGAATTTTCCACTACGAGTCCTGTTGCCTTGAGTTCCAGCAATCTGAACCTTGGTTCATAATCCTGGAACTAAATGTGGATTCATGCTCACAGAGCTACTGAAAGAACAGAGCTTGAGATAGATGTTAAAATGAGAGGTGGACAGATTTTTCTACAACAAAGGTTTATATTTTGCTGACTAGGCAAGACAGAAGGTGATTTCTCTGCTCATCATGCTCCTTAACAAGGTAGAAAAAGGGCAGTAAGGCAATAGATGGGGGTTAATCTCTAGAGATAATGGCTTCTGTTTCTAGATCAGCAGCAGCAGCAGCCTACTGACCTGGGAGGACTTGAGGAGTGCAAGGCTTTGCAGAGGGTTAAACTGCCACAGAGGAGGAAAGCTGCAGCTGTGGGATGCAGAAACATGAACTCAAAGCAGTGTGTTAGACCTGGATCTGGTGGCAGGATGCCCGGTTCATGCAGCAGAACTACTCTGAATAATGTAGAACACTGGGAATTTGGCCAGTTTTAGAGGTCAGTAGCAGAGCTGGGGACAGGGACTTTATTCAGGGATAACTTCCATGGCCATGGAAGCAGCAGTCACGTGTAACCCTCAATCAATTCTGCTCTCACACTTGCACATGCTCCTTCAGCCACCAGGCTCCCAAAATGGAAAGAGAGGTACCTTTGTGACCAAAAGATGGCAGCAAAAAGTCTTTATTCAGGATTTTGTGCAACACTGGCAAGTCGCAGTGGCAGCATTGTATCTTAAACCTACCTTGTTGCAAGAGCCAGCAAAGCAACTTTTTCCTCACTGAACTAAACTATCCAGTCCAGAGAACATCTGCATCTCTCTCAGTCCCTCTCAAGATGTCCCCATTAGCCTGTTGCCATTCATGATCTATTAATTCTGACTCAGGCAATGCAATAAAGAGAGACTCCAGCAACATTGATTTTAGCTGGGCCAGATTCCACTTACCACTCATCAGCAGACTTTATTGCATCCTTTCCCAGAACAGCTACTAGTCATTTTATTGCATGTCATGGCAGATATATTACTCTTCCATAATGCTTGAGCCTTAAATAAAGCTTTGTAGTCTCGGGTAAGTGTAAGGGGGATTTGCAAGGTGCTGAACTTAGTCTGTTACAATAACATTCCCATTCTGGGTTGAATGCATGAGCCAATCTCATCACAAGGACCAGAGGAAGGGAGGAAAAAGTAAGCATGTCATGCTAGTGCAGGAGAGAACTGCCAGTACAACTGTTGTCTGTGGCCTTTCAGAGTCATTTCAGGAGCTGGAGCAGTGGAATGTCCCACTGCTCCTTCAGAAATATCCCTGCACGTCCCCTGCAGAGGACAATGTCAGGCTGATGTCAGCAGTGGGACATGCAGGGGTTTCTTTTACACTGCAAGGAAAGGGCTTTATTACCCCTTTTAGCTGACAAAGCAAAGCTGGAGACACTCATCAGCCAGCCCTAAAAGCTGCTCTGTCCCTTTCTAGTGGACTTTTAATGACATGCACTTGACAGGAGGTAACAGAGCCTAAGCAGCCCCACTCTCCTCTGCACAGAGTTCGGTTCATGTTTGACATCTCAGCCTGAACAGCCTTCCCTAACACCTTTTTGGGGTTTTTTTTTTTTGTAGCTCCTTTCTCCACCAGCCTCAGTGAGAAATAAAACAGTGTTGCATTTCTTTAGTCAAAGTGCACTTCAGTGAAGATTCCTGGGCCAAGTGGATGGGTGATGGGTATGAGATGTAAACAATGCTTGGCTGTGCATTTTGGGGAGTGGGGAGAAAAGGGAATTGAAAGGGCAAGAAAATCACCAGGAGCCTGAAAGAATGTATCCATGAAAGGTTGTACAATAAGAATTATTTTAATTTTAATTATTAACTGAAACTCCCCATATGCACATGAGACACTTTATGTCACTGTTTATCTATCAAATACTGCTCAGACAGAGCATCCCAAGGTTTCAGTTGCTGGTTAATACTCCCACTTTCAGGAGGAGCTCAAGTTGTCTCTTTTCAAAAGAAACAGTTGTCATTAAGTGTATACAAGGAATCAGTGCACAAAGTGGATGGGAAACTATCTTTTTTTTTTAAATAAATTTTAAAGTTACCAGTTACCTCTTTTTAGCCTCTCCATCGCACTTTTACTCCCAGCATATGTAGGTCTAATCTCTTTTCCTAATTCTTCTATGATAGCTAGAAGTTCTGCATATTTGCTCTGTGGTACTTGACTGCTGCTGGTGCCCTGTAGTTGAAAGTAAATTAATCTCAGTCAAATACTGTAAAAACAAAACAATTACAAGAAACAGCAAGCAGAAGTTTATGGAAGACCAGAGATAGACCTGCAAATCACTTTTTAAAAGAACAAAATTTCAGGATTATTACATAAACATGATTTTTTTAAATTGCTGCTACAGTTGGACACAATGCTACATGCCCTTCAAAAATTGGGATCAACTGTGAGGATGCAGCTGCAAGCCTTGGACTTTGGGTGAAGCAAAGTTAAAACAGTCCTGCAAAACCAGAAAACCTGGAACTGCTTACTCAACCCTGTAACTGGTTTTTCAATGTTTCAGTGTATATTTTATGGAGAAGTTCACCAGGCAGGGAGACTGAGAAGATAAAACTGAATAGAAATATTGGGCTTTTAACAAATAACTTTAAAATATGTAAGTGCCCTTCCAGAACATAATTCAAGACATTTCTCTGACTCAGACAGGACAGGACTAGCAGTTAATTAGGAACCAACCTCACTCAGCACTCAGCTTAGCCTAATTTGATCCCCAGACATGTGTGAGGAAGCAGTCTGCCATTTGGGTTTGATTTCAGACCTTGGTGGGAGGGAGGAACACCTCAGATTACAGGCCACAATCCCTGCTACTATGCAAACGTAGGGTCAGTGATCTGATTAAAGGAAAAGAAGCAGAGCTGTACCTGCATCCCTTGTGTATAGCCTAGAGAGGGGGGGCCATAGTCGTTTATGAGCTGTCTGTATTGTGCCGATGTTGCCATACTTGTGGAGGGAGAGTGAACACCCCCAGCTGCAGAGAGAAAAGAGAGAGGAAAAAAACCTGTTATTGCCTAAAGATTAATTAGTCTGTTACACTGAGACACATTTTAATCACTTGTTCCTAAAGCTGTGACCTCTCACCTTTGTCTAAGATCACTAATGACATTTCTCAGCGTCACTACTAGGAAGAGAATGGCTGAATTAATGCTTCTCTCATGTTTGATGAACACTTGGAAATAGCACAGCCTGCAGCATTATCAGTGTAAATTGTTTGCCTAAAAGTGAAGCAGAGTGCAGCATGACAGGTTGTTCTGCCTAGACAAACTGTAAGTATTAAGGAGTCCTATTTTTGCATATATACATTCCACACAGATGAGTCTAATGTGCCGTGCTATTTTTACTTTTACAGTGCAAGTTATCTGAAAGTAATTTTGCAACTCAAAGTGTCATCACATGGTCAAAGCAAGTTACCCTCAGCACTATTTTCAGCCAATGCCAAAACTATTCCTAGGGAACAGTCAGTTGAGGTATATCAAATCTGCTGCTCATTGCGTGACATGGGAGGTGAG